AGGAGGAAGACAGCCGAAAGATCAATAATGCAATATTTCATCAATTCTAAATTCGCCGCACTACTGAAAATTTCGTTTGAAATAGTCCATGTCATCAGAAACTGGGACTCAGTAGGAGCAAAAATCAGAAAGTATACATTACTGAAGTAACTTCAGGAAATCGCGCCTGAACTTCATGTACATAGGTTTCAGTACAATTACTTTTTAATTTCATGCAATTCAAAAGGAAACAATGAACGATGATAACTACAATATAAATTATGTTAGCTAAGGAAAATACAAACTATCAAAGTCAAACTATCTAGATCACAGGATTCAACGACAACACCTAGATCATTCTCCTAGGTTATGAATTTTTTACATCATCAATATTTATCAAAAAAACTGTTAACAATTTAGTTGCACCAATCGTCTGAAATTGTATCGACATACTGATCGGAAATTTCAGTTCTTAGATCTGCTTTTGTCGAATAAGATCTGTATTATCCCACTATTATAATTTGCTAGATTCAATCAATATTTACAGAAATTATCATCTTTCGCATGTAGTTTTAACTAAATTTTATCATGACTAGATTTAAATTCTTCCTATTTCATACGGATTTCTTTATCATGTTTCATAATCCTAGTTATAAAAAAATTAATGGACAAATAGTCATTCGTTTATCAGGCGTTCGGAAAATATGCCGTCAGTTTGCTCACTTATTGCTGTAGGATTGACTGTATTTTATTTGTTTTAAAGGGAATGATCCCAGTGGAGTACAATCAATGCTGATGACTTCTTACATGATCATAGTTTTTTTCGCAATAAATGATGCTCATGAATATAATTCTATCTTTTATAACTATCAAAAATGGCTTAACAATTTAATTATTGCATAGGAGGAAAACGTTGATTTCAAGTATGAACGGCTGACGATAAAATAATTGGGATTTTTCGGACTAGAACATAAGCTGTATCTTATGAACTAAGAAAATCTGCAACTTCAACATTTTCGATCGTCACTGGTATAAATGATGTAATGTTAGTCTGTGCATGTTATATAATTTGTTTCCTGACAATCGGTCAACAAAACGCATAAACTGTCTCTTTTACTGCCCTGTGTATAGAAAGAATTATTATTCGATTTCCTTTTAGTATCTTGTTTTTCATTTAAACAAAATCTAATTTATGAAACCTTTTAAATCAACATCAAAGATCTCCTCAAGTTAGTGAACTATGCGAACATTAGAATATAACCACAGAAAAATATTTGTCAATCAATCCTTAAAAAAAATAAATAATCAGCTATAATCAGTACTAAACTTCATAGAAGTCTGATATGACATTAGGCTTGTATCACTGAATATAAAATCACACATGAAAGAGGTACTAAGAGAAACTATGAGGACTAGGAGCAATTATTCATGAGCAGCAGGAGTATTCATTTTCATACCATTACATCTGTGATGAAGGTCAACTATGAAATTTTTAATCGTTTATTAGAATATTGTTCCTGTGTACAACTTTGGCAGTAAAATATGACATGATCACATGACCAGTTAATCGTAAGTAAACAGAAAAACCTATTGATTTATCTCTTTGAGTGAAATTTTTCAAAAGGAACGACAATTAATCCTTTGAAATTAGAAAATAGCTGTCTGGGAAAAACGAAATAATTTTTTCATTGATTTCCTGAGGATTCAGCAAAAAATATCATCACCTTCTATACACTAGACAAGAAAATCTGTCGATCAGTATTTTGAGTAAAATAGATACTGACCAATTTATTGATAACTTTGTTAGGGATTCAAACTAAATTTTAAAAGATTTTTGTTGATTGAAATTATTAAACTTCATTATTCTGTTTCAACAACTTGAAGTCTTGCAATCGTATTTCATATTTTAAAAATACTGTTGTTATACTTTCGCCTTTTAGATTCATCGTTTTTGTTCATTGTTTACGTCGTCGAATTAATTTTTCATAAACTTTTGTTGTTTTTCACGTTGACAATCAGTGTCGATGTACCTGCTTCAAATTTCCATTTCAGGTATTTTATTAAATTATCTGTTAAATCAATCGAACATTAGGAATCAACTACTGGACGGATATGAATTTTTCTAATAGAGCGGATTACATATTTACTAAAAATACAGAGAAACTTTGTTTCCGGTGTTAGTTGAAGTTAATTTAATCGTAATCATGAATTTTGCATATTAGTTTCGATTTTTTCCTTCATAGAGACTGGATATTTCAACAAAACAGATATCGAGTTCAGAGGTCACATTATTAGTTTCTTATTTGTGTGAAGGAATGTAATGAAAAACCCAGCTCTGCATTTAGATTATGTAACTATATTCGAAAAATTTATAACTTCTCAATAGCCGATTCTTTCTAAACTAAATAATTTGTAAAAATATTTGTGTGGCCTATGAACATGTAAACAGTCTGAATTGCGTAAAAGTTCAAGTGTTCACCTAATTCAAAGCCGTCTAAATACGTTTGATTCGAATAAAATCGATACCTAACGGTTTATATACTATCTTTGTGAGTCAATATAAAAGGCACATACAATCAGTCTTAAACTGAATGTAATCAAATCTCTGTAAATCGTCTTTACTAATCACAATCATGTGCTGACTAGTGACTCGGTTCAAGATCTTTTGCAGCAGTTTGAAGGAGAAGCCGTGACCGCAGGTAACAGAAAAAGAGCTGAGGAAGTTCATGAATTGATTGGGGTTGGTCGTTAACAGCATTTAATATCGATTCAGTCGTCCAGTGCTTAACGCTTAATGAGCGAGACTGACACACTTTTTCGATAATGACGTAAACTTTATTTCATACTTATTTCTAAAAGTTTACTTAACAACAGAATCACACAATGCCAAACTAAACAAAGCTGCCAATAATTTACATTGATTAACCATATTTTTACTACTCATGGATTTTAACTTCAATATTGTAGGCGAAATTTCATTGTGGGTTTATAAATCTATTAGGAATAAACCGATGGTCGTCTTTATTTACTGATGACACTGATAGAGAAGAGTATTTGTTACAAGTTCTTTACTGAAAATACTTGAATACATTACTGAAAACAATATTTTAAAAATGAACTATAGAAAAAAATGACTAACAGATTTATTTCATTTATAAAACAGTAATAAAATGACTAAGTACTAAATCGTATAAAATGTAAACTATCCATTGTTTCTAAATGAATTTTATTTGATACTGTTAAAGTTACCTAAGTGGAATTAGTTCGTATTAAGTTGATCTATTCTTCATATTAGACATAGGAAAATAAATAATGATTGTATTCTCTCCAAATTCACATCAATGTCAAGAAAGTAAACAGCGTATTACCGAAATTGCGCTGACATTTCTTTCCAGCTATCATCAACAAGATAAATTAAACAATATTATTTTGTGAACCTGCTAATATAATACGTTCTTACATACAGAGCTTGATGTAATGAGTTATCTTATCTTATAGATTCTTTAACGAACCAATAGCTCTTAATTCTGCCTATGAAATTTGTTGAACGTAAACATGTTTATTATCCATTTATGAGTGGATGTGAAGACTTACAGAATTTGATACTTTCAAAATAAGAATGAAATTATTAGGATTTATGTAACAGTCATTTTTGGTCTTAATTAACGGACAGTTATGTATAACTAGTAGATCGAAATCAATTCACTGAAATGTTGTAGCTCATGGTCATTTAGTCTTGTTCAACGCAATTAATAACTATTAAATGCTAAGTAATATGATCAACGGACAGTGGTGACTGAAGTTCGTCGTTTAAGCCTTCTCTTATTGTATTTTCCCCTAATGCCTACCAAAGTATCACTCCTATTATGTATGGACTACAATAAAAACAAATAAATAGATTTATTTTCAGAAATCCGGATCAATAAATTTATCTGCTGTTTTCACTGTCATTCATCAGTAATAGAAACTTGAATGAGGATTTTTCACGGTCTTCGAGAATTCACTTAAGTGTAAGCAATGCTTGTATACAATTAGAGCAGCTGATCTTGTTAATTAGTAGTCCACTCTATTTGACTAGTCTTTTTATTTCCAATTTATGAGGCATAATTTGCACTCTATATCCAACTATGCATGAAAATGAATAGAAGTTTTAGTTGCAATAGGTATTTCACATGTTGTGATACCACGAAATCGGAAAATCACTTAGAAAATGATGACATTAATAAATGAATCTACTGCATACTTATCCAAAAAACAATATATATATATATATGATGAATTCTCACTGATGCATTTTAAAATGTTCTAATGATTATCAGTAGGATAACTATGGTAATGTTTATATTTCATGAAGATGGCTTTTATTTATCTGTGGAAATTCAAGTTATGCATATCATACAATGAATTATCTAATTCAAAAGTATGAACAGTGAGTAAATATATCTGTAAGCAATAAAACACTAACTAGCATAAACACCTCTATTCAATCAGTCAATGTATATGAGCATAGTTATTTTTCTGCAATCTTATCGGTCCGATTGCGCCATAACCATTGATCATCTCAATAGATGATAACAAAATCTATAAGTGAGTAATTTTTTTAATAACTCATAATGTAATTTTCTTCAAATAATACACAAAAAAACCCTCAAATACTGTTCACTTAGTATGCCTTATTGATTGGAAAAATAAAAAAACAAAAATCAATAACTGAACTGATAATATTCTACTACTTTTTCAACTTTTATCAAACTATTATTGTAAAATACACGCTGTATATATTGTTGAAAGTTGAAACTTCATATTATTGATAAAATCTACAGTTCAATTAAGCTAAACTGTTAGAATGTACATCAATGCTTGGAAGTATTCAATTTCATTTATATATATATATATATATATATATATATATATATATATATATATATATATATATATATATATATATATTATATAAATTAGTATTCAAGGCTTAGGAATATATAGTCAGGGTTTTTTAGTAGAAAATTTCAATTTAAAATAATTATTCAAATATATAGATGTTCACTTTGTTTGTTTTTTAATGCAATTAATTAAATATTTTATTTGATTAATAAATAATTGTATGCATTTTTGTTTACTCAATAAATATAATTATTGCCTATGTAAATTTTAAAAAAAATTAACATTCATACTGTACTGCTTTGTCGTTTTTTGTTTTGTTGCACAGATATAAATAATATAAATATATATAAATATATATGTATATATACATGTACAAATGGTCAATTATTTGAATTGAAATAAAAAAGAAGCATGTTAATCAATGGCAGTGATTATATATGTGAAGTGTGTTACATTCAGAAAATTAGGAAAATACAACAGAATTGAAGAACGGCTAATAAACAGTAAAATAGAAAATTATCGAAAGCCGAAATGATCGAAAATTAGCCAGTCATAGGCAATAAAATGTTGCAGATCCATGGAAAAAAAAATTGATAAGTTCATAAAATCAAAATACTTGAAGAATATTATCAATAAGAATTCCTGTTATTACATTATTCATTTTTGTATATTATCAATCAACTTATGATAGGTAACATTAGAAAATTAAAAACAAAAGCAAACAATCTTTATTCTTTATGAATGAACGTTTGGAAAAAAATAGTTGACAGTTTGTTTAACTTTAATATCTGTATGGTGTGATCATATGATGATCTTCATTCACATAACTGTAAGTACTATGTCTATCCGAGTAAAGTGAATTATTTCCTAAAGTTCCTGGACATTTTGGTCTATACAAATACAAATACACAGGTCCATATCTATTGGTTGTAATACCTCTGTGTGGATCGTATGTGAGATAGGTTACATCTAACAGACTGTCAATAGTTCGACGTTTAGCACTAGCACTAAGTGATGGGTTATAACTCTGTTTCAAGGGTGAAACTGTAGCTGGTGATGTTAAATAAGTAGGACTAATATCATTTTGTGCATAATAACTATGATGATTCTCTGCTACGGAAATTGTTGCACGGTTGTTTTCAAGTTCAAAATTACTCACTGAACGTACACGACCTACATCATCCACAAAAACTTGTCGAATAGCTGTTAAGTCACGCAGTACTTTATCTGTATCAGTCATTGCACGTCTAATATAGTCACAAACTGTTTGCGCTGTTTCAGGAATTTTACATTTATATATCTCATAATATTTCATAGTACTATACATAGAATCTATACATAGTACAAAAAAAACTGGTCTAACTCTGTTGATGAATATTTCTTTAATTTCCTTATATGTTACCCATGGACGAAATGGTATCTTACCGGATGATTTGTTTCGTTCAAAACTAATACGATCTTCTAATAAACTTCCAGTACAATGGGATTGTCGTTTACGACGATATTTTTCCAGTAGTTGTAATGCTCTTGTTTCAGTGAAATGTTCTGCTGCATTAGCACGTACACGAAATATGGCACAAACATGTGTTTCGTAAAATAAATGCTGTTTACTTCCAACATGGCGTAGACAATCATCAATGAATTCCTGTTCCCTCTGAGGTGAGAGTACTTCTTTTTTCCTCATGATAAAAAAGTTGTCAAGCTTGTTTGAGTTTTTGATAGATGTATATATGTAGATATAAACCTATGTATGAGGTTGTAAAAACTGTTAATTCTGACTACATGTGCTCACAGATATATATATATATATATATATATATATATATATATATACATGTACATCACTGAAATGAAAACGAAAATAATTTTTTTAGAAAAATGTAACATTAATGACTAATTAACGATTTGGTAAAATGAAACAAAAATGTTTTTTTCACATAACAATCATTGTAAGTATCATTGTTTGATGGAGAATAGTTTATTTCTATTTGAAAATGTTTTTTTCAATCACATTAAAATCGATCAATTTAATAAGGACATGTTGATGAATGTAAATCAATCACATAAAAAGTATTACTTCAATTATTGTTATGCACAAGACAATAATTTACATTTAAAAAATAATGCACATTCAATATATATACATAGATCTAATTGGTTTCAGCTGTAAAGAAGAAACCTAATCTTCTATGGAATGCAATCGAAGAAGTAGATTTTTTATGTTGTCTCGATGTCATGAACAAAGTCCGAGAATTGATATTTACACGGATTAATAACTTTTGTGACTCATCAAAAAGCAATAGATATCACTCATATATTTGAAGTAATGAGAGAACATAATTTCAATTTCAATTGGTAAACCAAACTAAACAGAGATAGTTTCTAATGAATTATTTTATATAGGACATAAAGTGTATCCTAAGTCACTCTGCATGTCAATATATCCAAAGATTAATCAATTTGTAAATGAAGGCAGAGTCAAAGATTTCATTCATTACAAGAGAAAGCATAGTTGTCAAATCATGAATAATGATTTTGTGAAATATAATGTATATTCTTACAACTTTCAGTCAGTCAGTTACAACGTAGAACTTCGTACGTAAGTAGATCAATTCAAGTTGCCATGCCACATCAGGACAGAGATATAATTGTCATTTCGAATCCTAAAGAAGTAGAGGTTGTAAAAGTATTAGAAGTTGTCAGAGAGATTAGGGTTCGAAGATGTTATTCAAGAAGTATGATTCAGTGAGGTAAATTTAGAAATAGAAAAATAAAGGTGATGAGGAATTCAGAAGGTTAGCATTTCATAAAGCGAAAACAGTGGATGCACCTGCGCCATTGCAAACGGTTTTGAATCATGTCATTCAGGGTCTCTAATCATCTATTATTATCATCTCGAGCACTCCAACTAGGCAGTCGACACCTGCCGACACCGGTGTCAATGACTTCATGGATTTCCGCTATGTTTTGTTTTGGCCGCCCCTAGCTTTCGTCCAACCTATTCCTATATCACAAAACATAGTTCGACGAGGCAGTCGGTGGTTAGCCATACGTAACACATGTCTAAACCACCTCTACTGATGAACATTCAATACTTCATCTATTGACTTGCCATCCTCACTTAGCACCGGTTTTCTAACAAGAGCATTGTTTACTCGGCTGTCCCACGATACTCGAGCAATGCTTCGAAGACACCTATGATCGAAAACCAGTAATCTACAAATATCTTCTACACTGACTGGCCATGTTTCACAGCCATAAACTAGGACGTTGCGAACTGCTGCTCAGTACACTCGTACTTTGGTTAGCAAACGGATATCTCACCTTCGACATAAGTGTCGAAACCTGGCAGAAGCCAGTCGAGCTTTCTGTATCCGTGCGGAGATTTCGTCAGTCACCAGACCATCAGCACTGATGAGACTACCCAGATTAGTAATGACTTCAACACGCTCAACTAATCAACTCCCTATCACTAGTTCAGGTGCCGGTACAACCCAGTCTTGAAGCAATACTTTGTATTTAGAGAGTGAGAACCACATCCCGAACATGCTTGTATTGTTGCTCAGGGTTGTCAGAAGACTCTGCAATTTGTCAGCGGCTTCACCGAATAGAACTAAGTCATCGGCATATTCTAAGTCAATAAGCGAGCCACCTGGTAGAAAGTCTACTCCTGAAAATTCAGACGACAATAAGGTTATTTCTAGGAGCATGTCTATGACAAAGTTGAAAAAGAATGGAGAAAATGGACATCCCTGACGGACACCACTTGAAGTGAAGAATTTCAATGACAGTTCGCCATAAGCTCTAACTCGACCTGTAGTGTTCGAGTAGAGAGCTTGTATAACGTTAATGTACTTCTTTGATACACTTTTTAATGAGAGACACTGCCATAGAACCTGACGATCAACAGAGTCGAATGCCTCCCTAGGGTCCAGGAAGACAACTATTGTCGGATGCCTGAATGTCTGAATTCCAGAACCTGTCGTAGTGTGAATATATATATATATATATATATATATATATATATATATATATATATATTAGCAGAAGTATGTATGATGAGATGATATTTAGCGGATGAAAGCGGCTGTTTTATCTTGCAATCCAGGTCGTAAAATCCAAGCTAGCCAAAGGAAAGAAATTAAGAAGATATTATAGGAGCTGCAATTGAATGTGTTGTGTCTGAAGTGTCTAATGAGTTGATTGATACGTATAGTGAGTAACATGTTACTTTAAAGTTACTTTGTATTATAAGTGAATGAAAAAATTCACAAAATAATTTTTCAATGGTTGTGGATTTTTCATGACCTTATGTTTTAGAAAATGGGTTTTCCAAGCTGAAACATACATCTGTTAGCATTGCAATTTATTCTCAAGGAAAAGCGCTCCTTATATCTAAAAATTTAATATACAAGTTACGTTTCTAATTATTATGTGAGACCGAGGATTGTTGCAGTTCGCATCTTCGGATCACTTTGTGTAATTGCTTTTCTTTAGCTTTTCCAAAATACATGAGGATATTACAAAGCAATAAACAATAAAATTCTGTCCTCTTCCGTAGAGTTTGTAACTTCTTCTCCCTGAGACTGAATAGATGTAGAACCGCTTCAGGCACATGTCTTAACTTTATAATTGGTGCTTTAACTGGGGCATCAGATACAATTGCAGCACTCTAGTCTTCTGAGGAAAGCGTTGTGCTGATCTCTAGGACGGGTTTGCACACTTACAGTGCATATTATATAACAATGGATCAAAATGATTTTAGAATTTTGTAGAGATTGGCGAAAGTTCAAATGATTCATATGCAACAGTGAAGAGTACTGATAACCTCTAAATATCATATAATTTAGTGACTATGTTTCAGCTTACTTAAATGACATATTAATTTACATAGCTGACTATAATTTCTCGAAATCTATATTGAAGCTTGTGATTAGTGAGTGGAATTTTGTCGAGATTCTTTCAATTTATCTGTCCTAATATGGATGGCATGTAGAATAATAAGTGTGTTCATTGTTAAGTATCCACTTAAAAGGGATATACATATTGCCTATACGTTTTCATTTATTCGGTAACTGTCAGATAGAAAAAAAATATCCAAAACTTACGCATTCATACACTAAAATGCTTAAAAAAATTCCCTTTTAATTAAAAAAGTCATTCTGATCACCATGAACATATCGAAATCATACTTCATAAAAATTCTAGTATATTGAAATAATAGTTAAACAATATGCTTATAAACTGGAGTCAATTTAAATTCAAAGTTTCATTGAAATCATGAAACGATCAATGTTAAAACCACTATTGGAAAACTAGAGACACTGGATTGCCGCTTCGTCCAAGCATGGGATTCATTAGCAGGGTGCATCAACGACACGTTGTGCGGGAATTGGATCCATGCATAAACGCCTAACCCCTAGGTCATCGAGCCAAAGTTAATGTCTAATCTCGATCAGTCCACGGTATTTGTCGACCATATCCATTGTCTTCGATTACCGCAAGCGGGATTTGTGGATGTGCATTGCTGATGGGGCATATACTTGGACGAAACGTTCATCCAGTGCTTCCACGTTTCTGATGACGGTTTGCTACTGATCGATTCACGATTGCAATGAAACTCAACAATCTACACAAAGCTCCAATGTAAAACACATAGTGTCAGAACTTACTCCTGGATCTCTATTAGGACGATTTCAAATAACAGTCACTTTCACTTTGTTAAATTCAGTGATCCACTTGAAATAACATAATGCTTAAACTTTTCTTTTGTTTGATAACACTGAAGTTTTAAATTCTATTTCGTTTCAAACTAAATCTGGTTGAGAAATGCTCAAACAATAAATGTATTTAAGAAAAAGATGAAAAACTGAAAAATACTATTTTATTAACGCATATTTTTACCATAATTACAATTGTAATTCTTGATCCAAATACCTTTTCATTAGAAAAGCAAAAATGACTGATTTGTTCATGATATGAATGTGTATAGTGTATTCTTTGATCTAGCCATATCAATATGACAATTAACAAAATAAGTTTGTTAGCATCAATCATAAATTTGAAATCGCGCTACATTATTATTATGCGCCTGACAAAATTTGCTGGTTTTTTTTGATTAATTTAAATCATGAGACGCCTGATACTTTTATTGATTTCTGCTACGTAAAAGATTTGTGATAAATTTTGTTTAAGTAAAATTAAAGATTTAGCAAAGAAATATCAAGAATGGTTTATGATTAACTTATCTTTATTAGGTGTTGTATAGTTAAGTAGATAAATTTCGTTTAAAAAATGTTTGCTTGATGACTTGTTTAATGAATTCATTTTAACAAAGTGCAGCGACACTAGACAGAGGAAGCAGACTAAAATACTAATTATAAAATCAAAACTTGTTTCATAATTTAGTAAGTTAAATTGCATGGCATGAAAACTAAGTTTTTTCGAAACCTAATGAAGTTTAGTATCTTCAATCCAAACTGCAGTTTGGATTGAGGAATAACTGTCAAGGTAGTTTAGATACGCGTCTTGCCCAGTTGAAATCAAAAACAAGTGATCTGTATAAATAGCGGTTCTAATATTGATCATAAATATAAATAAACATCATTACCTAAACAAAATTACCACAGCTATTCCACAATAATTGTTCAGTTATTCAAATAAACGATATTCTATCCCTCCTGGAAAGATCAAATTCGTTCGACAGATAATATTTGGTTGCTTCATAACACAGAGTGTTTCCTATTCTGAAAGAGTGCTACAATGTACAATCAAAATGCACAATTCCAAT